CTAAAATCTTCTTAATTTTTCCCAATACCTGGAATTTCCTGTATATTCTAATTGTCTTAATGACCTCTGATTCTTTTCAGTGTTTTTTTTTTTTTTTTGTATTGAGACAGATGAAATAGCCTTATTGGTTTTAGTATTGGCAGGTCTGGTTTTTTTCTTAGCAAGGTGGTTTACTTATTATCTACATGTAAACTTATTATTATTTATGGTATATTGTTCCCCAATTACTTTGACTACCTGTCATTCACTTCTTAGTCAATGCTCCGTATATGAACAATTTTGAATCTCTTTCTATCGGAATATAAAAATCTCAGAAAGCTGTCTTTTTAATTTTGATGACACACTTTCTCCCCATTCCTAGCTTTTACAATGATCCTTTTTTAAACATCCCTGATCATAGGTAGGCTTACTTGGGAAATGCTTGGCTTAACCTGGGAATGGATTATTACTTTTAGTGCTATAAACCTACATTGCTTCAAGCTTCACAGCCACAGGCCAGATTTGTGGCTCAAGGCATGGATGCCTGTCTGAATTAAAACAATGTTTGTGAGGCAGCTGAAGAGCTTAGACCTCAGACATTGAAATTCCTGGGACGAGAAGGAGGAGGAAGAAAGGATAAAATGGTGTTTCAAAGGCTGTTTTTTCACTTCTAGTATGCCAGAAGTATGGTAGACTACACGTGTCTTCAAGTGTCATTTAATTCCAGAACAACTCTCTCCAGTGCCAGACACCAGGACAAATTACCCAAAACTTTAGATCCTAATGCATCAGCTTTAATTCTAGTGAGCGGTAGGCCTTAATTCCAGTCCAATTAGCAAATCCACAAAGCAATCTTGCCACTGTGTGAATGGCAAGAAGAATTTGTTTGTGAACAGATGAATATGTCCCACTCAATCATGACCAAAATTTGCCTTGACTTGGAAGCAAGTAGACAAGGAGCAATGCAGTATTTGTGTTTCATGCAGTGATAAATGGGGCAAGAAGCATTAACAACTTACCTGTTTTACAGAACATAAATACTGACGCAGCCAAAAATGCGCCTACATGAGGGGATCTTCAGGACATTCCTTTATTTCTTAACTAGGAATGGGCAGCAAAACGCTGGCATTTATCTGAAATGGAAGCAGTGTTCCTCCCCTGTTTCTCCTTGAGCACACTGTCTGTTGTTTGCAGACTTCACTGCCCAGCCCATGAATCCTCTCAGGGCCAATTGCTAAATGACAGGGCTAGCAAAATGCAGGCACCACATAATCACCCCAGCACTAATCCAGCACTGCTTTGATGTTGCCCAGGAGCACAGAATGGCTTGGCTTGGAAGGGACATTGAAAGGCCATCTAGTCCAATGCCCTGCAGTGAGCAGGGACACCTTTAAGTAGGTCAGGTTGCTGAGAGCATGAGTTTGAATGTCTGCAGGGATGGATGTCCCCCTCTCTGGGCAACCTGTGCCAGGCCTTCCAGACCTAGTGTAAAAAATGGGTTTCTTTTGTCCAGTCTGGATCGACCATCTTTTAGATTAAAAGCATTCCCCCTAGGTCGGCTCACAAAAGGCTCTAGTAAAAGTTCTGTCCCATCTCTTTTACAAGCCCCCTTAAGGTACTGAAAGGCAGCAATGAAGTCTCCCTGGAGTCTGCTCCCTTGCAGGCTGAACGCCACCAGCTCTCCCAGCCTGTCTCCAAAGCAGAAGGGCTCCAGCCCTCAGAGCATTTTGTCCCTCCTCTAGACTAGACCCAACAGGACCATGGCCTTCCTGTGTGGGGAGCCCAGAGCTGGATGCAGTACTCTGTTGTGGTACAGACAGAGACAGCACAAAGCAACAGGCTCCGTTTCCAGAAGGCTTCAAACCCTGTTTTTATTCTAGCATGCATGCTTGTTCTACATTCTTACAAAGCTCATAATTTACATTTTACTCACTGGTCACGAGAGAAAAGCAAAATACTTCTTGGAGTAGGCAGTTGCAGATTTATCTTATTTATCCTTCTTCCTTTCTTGGTTTCTGTGTCAACAACCTTCGTAGGAAATTCTTTCAGGGGTAAACATGGATCCTCTTATCAAAGTTCTCAGTGGCTCACAGAGGTCACTGTAAAACCTCTTCCACAGTACTCCAGGTGGGGTCTCACCAGAGCAGAGGGGTGGAATCACCACCTTCAAGCTGCTGGGCACTCTCCTTTGGATGCACATGGCTGGCTCATGTGCAGCCTCTCATCTAGCAGCACCTCCAAGTCCTTCTTGGCAGGGCTGCTCTCCATCCCTTCATGGCCCAGCCTGGGAGATCAGCTGGGCTGGGACAGTGTCACAGCCCTTGGACAGAGCAGCTGGGCAGGATGAGCTCCCTGCCAAAGAAGGCAGATCCCACTCCCCAGACAACTCCACCCTGGCCATGAGGTCACAGCAGGCTCTGAGGTCACAGAGGTGCCAGAGCCCCGTGGTTGCACAGCAGCACAAGGAGCGAGCAGTCAGTGCTTGAGCACAACTGTTGCGGCAGCAGCAGCGGCGGTGGCAGCAGTGGTGCTGACATTGGGACAGCGGTGTCAGGACAGCGGTGGCAGCAAGAGCTGCGGGACTGGCAGAGGGCAAGGCAGCATGGCCCTTGCTCTGCGCCTCTTCCTCCTGCTCCTCCTGGCCGTGGTCCTGCCTGCCAGGGCTGCCCAGGCTGCTCCACTGCAAGCGCGGGGAGCAGGTGAGCCAGCAGCCTGTCTCCCCTTTCCCGGGACAGCGCTCCCTGCTCCCCGGGAAGCGCTGGGGATGGTTTTCCCCAGGCCTTTAGGGAGGGTTTCCTCTGGGGGAGGGAGAGAGCCCCCAGGGCCCTGGGCTGGCTTGGTTTCCTCTCCCGGGATGTGTCACAGGGCCTGCAAAGAGGGTGGAGAGGGACCAGGAGCCAGCCCAGAGCTCCCCAGGCCCCTGTGCAGCTCTGGCCTTGTGCATTCACATCTGGCTCCCACAGCCTTACATGACCCCCTTCCAGTAGCCATTTACTATAGGCAGTGGGGGATCCCAGCACACCACGGAAATGTTCTGGTCTTTGCTCTCTTCTAGACTGGAACGATAAGATGGCTTATATGGAAAAGCTGGTGAACGACAGTATGAAGATTCTAGGGCATGGTGCAGGCAAGTTCTCGGTGTTCCTTACCTGAAAAATAATCAGTATCCATGTGGCAACGGCTCAGTCATGAGCCCTGTCCCTGAACATAATCTCAGGGCTTAAAGAAGCTGGAAATCTTGCCCTGCTCCCTTCTGTGGTCCCACAGGATCGCTGTCAGTGGGAAGAAGGATTATTTATCTGTCCATCTCCCTCCCATGTGCAATGCCACTGTGTCCTTCTGTGTGCTCTGTGCAGCCACGGAGAAGAGCAGAGAGGGAAGGGGCCGGGCCCAGGGCTGTTCCCCAGGGCTGAGCCTTTCTCAGCTCCTTTGCTGGCCCCAGGGAGCCTGAGCTGCTCCTGCTGCCACTGCCAAGCCCTGGCCTTGCCTGGGGCTGGGTTTGGAGCTGCAGCAGCTCCAGGGAGTCCTTTCTGCCCCGACTGCCCCGCAAGGGGCTCCTTCCATCCCAGTGTGGGGCCACTGCAGGCACGAGGTGCCCCTGGCCCTGCTCCTGAGGGGAAGGCAGAGCTGAGGGAGTGCCTTGGAGGGCACCAATCACCCAGGTGCCCTCACTGCCACTCGGGCCTGAAGGAGAAAAGGAACTTTCTGTTAAGGTCCTCCTAAATGGAAGAACCAAGACATAGGAGACACAAAATCCTTGGAGGCAGCCAAACATCTGGACCAGATGCTGAATGACCTGGAGAGACGCCGTGGTGGGTGCATTCCCTCAGTCTTATCCTGGGGCTCAGCAGCCGGGGGCTTTGGCTGCATAACTGGACACGCCGTGCCCAGCACAGCGGGAAGGGATCCATGGCAGCCTGGCTGCCCCGCTGCTGCTTCCACGCCCTGCAGGGCTGTTTGCCAGCCTGGCCTGGCTGCAGCTTCTCCCCAGCCTCTGCAGGAAGGCATTTGGCATCAGTTCACAGGCAGCCCAAACTGCACCACGGGCCATACATGCCCTGAGATCCGCTGCAATTTCCTAATCTCCAGTCAGATCAGGTGTAGGGGCTTTTTTGGTCAGGGAGGGCCCTGGCCCAGCCCCAATAACCTGGCTGTTTTCCTGATCCTTATCCATGACTTGACAAGTATTGTCTCCTGAAGTTGCCACCTCCTGCAATGGTTCTATTGGATCCAGCTGTGCTTTTTCCTTTCTCAAGCAATGGAGCAAAAGTCCATGCAGATGGGGCCATATCCTGTAGGAAGCAATGGCTTTGTGCCAGCCACTGATGCAGGAAAGGAGGAGATGCCAGATATGGGCACAGGTACAGGAGATAATTGCTCCACCAGGCTCAGCCCTTGGAGGGGCTGTGTGGCAGCGGCTCTTCCCCCAGGGCCTGCCCTTGCCCGGCCCGGCAGCAGCCAAAGCTGGAGGAGCCTCTGGAGGCTTGGAGGCCTCTGGAGCTCATTCACAGCCCCAGGGAAAGGGGACCCGTGCACCAACGTCCCTCCCGCTGCAGCTGCTCCGGAGCTGGCCCTGAGTGCCCAGAGGCCCAAGGCACAGGAGCAGCCCCGAGCGGGAGCCCTGCCGTGAGCCCAGGGCCAGAGGCAGCCTTGGCTCCCGACTGGGCAGGGGCTGCACTGGGTCCTGACAGGGCCTGAGTCTGTGCCCTGGGGCTGGGGGAGCTGTCACGGGGCAGGGAGGGCCAGGGCTGGCAGTGGCTGCTCAGGGATGGTATTGGCCCGTGTCCCTCCAAGCAGCCACTGCCCAAGCAGCTGCGCTGGCCCCGGGCTCTCCTCCCGGCCTGCTGGGCTTTGTTGGGTGGCACAGCCTGTGCCAAGGGGCGGCAAGGTGCCTGCAGGCCCCAGCTCTGGGGGAAAAGGAAAATGTCCTGCCTGCATCCACAGTGCTGCCAGCTCAGCAGTGGAGCACCGCACTGGCTGACGCTCCCCATTGCTCCTACAGAAGTGCTTGGCAAGTCAGACACTGACGCCCAGAATCCACGGAAAACCCCAAGAATTATCTGCCCCCAGGATGTGCGCAGGTCCTGCATGATAGGCACGGTAGTGACACTGTTCACTGTGCCAATTTCCATGGTGCTGTGCTATGTTGGGTTCCGGTGGTGGAAGGGAAAGAAACGGTAAGTGTTTGCCCATCTCTACCCACCAGCTTCTTTAAAGGCTGCACACAGTCACGGAACATTCAGGGAACAGAGAGGCGGCAGTGCAGGTGTGGCCAGTCCATGGCTGTCCAAAGAACTCTGCTGAGGGTTCTGCTGCTGCCCAGAGCTTTCATTGGCCTCCTAATTGCTGGGCCTTGTCCTGGGGGGCCCGCTGGGGCTGCAGCCAGTGCTGGCTCCCACTGAGGCTGCCTGGCCAAGAGCAGCCCCAGGGGCTCAGGGCAGAGGCAGAGCAAGGTGGGGAGGAGAAAGAGCAGGGACGAGATTGCCCTTGAAAGGCAGAGGCGCTCTGGGGCCCGCTCCTGGCCAGGGAGCCTGCCCAGAGCCAGGCCCTGCTCGCCGGGGCCTTGAGGGGCAGCTGTGCAGCTGGGCCAAGCTGTGCCAGCAGCTCCAGCCGTGCTGGGGAGCCTTGCCAGCTCTGGGCCCTGCTGTGCAGGAGGCTCCCTGTGTGCCACTGGCACCTGGGGCCTCAGCCGCCTCCTCTCTCCACAGTCGCGCTGCCGCCGCTCCAGCATCCCGGCCGAGAAGGCGTGCCTCTCCCTCGCCCCCAGAGAGCCCAGAGACCGTCGCCTTTGACAGCTCTCACACGAGGCCTCGGCAGCAGCAGTTGCCCAAGAAAGCAGAGCACCAGCCCTCCGTGCCTCCCCCACGGCCCCCCAGCCCGGCCTTGAAGCGGAAGCCTCCCGAGATCCCCCCACCTCCTCCCCTCCCGAGCCCGCCGCCCTGGTCCAACTAGGACTGCAACTGGGCCAGCCACGCAGGGCTTGGGCCACCAACAGCTTGGCCACCTGCCCTCCTCTACAATGAGCATGTGTTACCTACAGGCAACAGCCAGAGTCCGTTTTCATACTCTTGGACCTTCAACAGGAAGGGGGGAAGATTCTTTCCATGCCCTTTCTCATCTTTTACCTCTTTGATTTTCAGACAGTTGGGAGCTGGTTGCATCTCTTAAAGACTTTATTAGCACTGCATGTTTTGCCTTACCAGTCAAGGGAAAAAAAATAAAAATATTCTTCAGTTTGGATTTCATTTTAAGTGTGATTGGGCCATTCACATTTTGAGCATTTAATTTCTCATGGTACTTCTTCCCTTTTTCCTTAGTATCCATAAAAAGTTCATCTGGACATAAAAATCACCAGCATTACTGAGATTTACCTCAAAGCCCAGATAGGGAATCTAGCACCAAATATTCTCCCTGTGTACTGCACAACAAGAAATATTCAGAAGAATATTCACTGGCAGCTGAGGCTCGTGGAACTCCCAGAATACTGAGCCTGCAGAGGAGGTAGACAGCCCTGGCAGTGGTTGAGGGGACTTCTCATCACAGACTCCTCTGAAAGTGTGTCACTCCAGGAGGAGAAAGCATTTAAACCTGTGCCTTACCTTCCTCCTGTGCTAAAATGTAAGGTTCCTCCTGAGCTACAAACAATTCTCCATTCCTCAACAAAGCTACTCATGTTCTTGACTTATCTTAAAGAGCAAAAGCAAATGTGGTCAGAAATTTTGCATCAAAGCCTGTTTGCAGAGAAATGCCACCATATGTGAGAAAATAGTTCTTAGCATCAATTCACTCAAAAGAAAGCCAACCCTGAATTGAGCAGTGATTTAAATGAACTTGAATTCTCTTTATTCACCTATCAGCTGGATTGGTTTGCTCCTTTTTTGTGCTAGAGAGAACATTAGAACAATTTGCTCTTGACAGGACTCCTTGTATGGCTCCCACACTGGTGACTGCTCACCACGCCTTGCCTGGGCTCTTAATGCAGCCTGTTAGCAGCACCTGACTTTGCCACCCTGTTGAGCCCTTGGGCACGGCTGGTGCCACGGTCCCCTCCTGGCTCATGGCATGTCCCTGCTGCTGGAGGAGCCCTGCTGGTGCTGCTGCCTGCGTTCAACAACGCCGGTCCTACCCCCCAGCCAAAGACAGACTAAAGTCACTGCTTTGGGCAGCTCGTGTGAACGAGTTTAACACTTACTCACCTCTATCCCAGACCTCTTAAAACCCACCCAGCAAGATCATAAAGTCACCTCATCTACAGAGATGAGCAGGTCTGAGCGAACGGAAGGTCGGCTTTCACGCACATTGGGCTTTTAATTTAGTGGAAGCACTCACTCAGTTCACAAGCCTGACTTGTCAAAGCGGATTGTGCGATGCTATTGTGTTGCTTGTGTTAAAGAGAAACCCGAAGGGAGAAATGAATTATGAAATGAGAAACACTCTTGGGGCGCAGGCTTGGCAGATAAACGGAGCAGGGTAGCACCCGGCCGCTTTGCCGGAATCCCTGTTCGTGCGGGACAAAGGCGGACGCGGCTCCGCTGCGGGGCGAGCCGGGCGCTCGGCGAGCGGCGCTGGAGCGGCGGCGGCCCCGCCCCGCCCGCCCCGCCCCGCCGCGGGCCGGGGCCGAGCGCTCGGCCGGGCGGGAGCTCAGGATGCTCGGGCAGCGCCGCGGGCCGGGCGGGCGCGATGGAGCCGCCTGAGGGCTGGGACCCCTACGGGCGGCCGGCCCGGCGCACGCAGTGGCTGGTCAGCGCCCTCGCCTACCACTACGGGCTGGACCGCGGCGTGGAGAACGAGATCGTCGTGCTGGCCACCGGCCTGGACCAGTACCTGCAGGAGATTTTCCACCACTTGGACTGCGACGGTTCGGGCCGCATCCCCGGCGAGGACTTCCGCACGCTGTGCCAGGTGCTGGGGCTGGAGGAGGCGGCGGAGCCCGAGGAGTGCGCGGGGCTGTGGGACGGGCTCTCGGCCGAGCTCACCTTCCGCCAGTTCCACGCGCGGCTCTGCGGCCACTTCAGCACCCGCGCGGGGCCGCGGCTGCCGCTGGGCCGGGAGAGCGAGCACATCGAGACCCAGATCCGCCTGCGCAGCCCCCGCCGCCGCCGCCGCACCGACCCCGCCGGGCGCGGAGCCGCGGGCAGCGCCGAGCGGCGGCCGCCGGGGCCCCGCTCCCGAGAGTGCTGCGAGGAGATCGCGGCGCTGGAGCAGGCCGAGGACCGCATCGCCAGGCTGGAGGAGGAGAACGGCAGCCTGCGGGAGCTGGTGGAGGACATGCGCGCCGCCCTGCAGAGCAGCGATGCGCGGTGCCTGGCGCTGCAGGTGAGTCCGGGCCGGCCTCTGCACCGGCCTCCCGGGGGCGGCTCGGCTGCCCCGAGTGCTTCAGGAGAGATGCCGCTCCCGGAGAGTCAGTTTATAACCCCTCCACTGCCGCACTGAGACCGAAGCTGCTCCTTCGTCCTCGGCATTACCTTTTTAGCAAAGTTCAGTTACAGAGAGGCCTTAAGGAGAAATACATGGCACCGGTGTACCATTCAATATAGCTGTGAGGAGCACTCTTGTTAAAAGTGTAGCGGAGTTCAGCTTGACAAACCCACGCGTACAATGCTGCTGCTTCTTCTACTGCACGTGCAGTCAGGATGTGCTGGTACCATATGCTGGATGTGCACTAGTGCAGGGTCTTTCCTGAAGGGAGAAAGAACTTTTGGATTCCCCCTTGCACAAGCAGTGCCTTGGTCAGAAGTGCCTGTAAGAAATATTAGAAGGATGTTTTCCTCAGAGCGTGGTCACGAGGGTTCAGAGTTTGAGCCAGTGCTGCAGGCAGGCTGATGAATAGTCTGGGGCTCCTCTGCACAGCCCCATTAATTCCAGGGCTGGATTCTGCTGGTTCTGCTGGACTGGCTTGAGTGACACACATACATGCTTAACAGCAGTTAAATTCCTCTGGCATGAAATAGCTTGGAACAGGCAGAGCAGGGAAGGGCAGCAGGGACCCATTGTTCTGGCAGGTCTCACCAGGTGTGATTTGATACTAACACAGCCCTCCCAGAACTCTGCTCCACCTGTGACACTTCCACTTGCAGTAGATGACTGTTGTCTTCACAATGTCCAGCAAGGCAGGTCAGAGACACTTTTACCATTTTCATCTAAAAAAGGGAAAGGAAATCAGCAGCAAACACGAAGTCACCAGTCAGTAGTCCCAGGAAGAATGAAAATGACAAAGAGGAGAGCTCCAGAACACCCCTAGCTGCTCCCTGCTCTCTTCTTCTGCACAAAACTTGATTGGAAATATCTTTTTCAGCAGACTGCCTCACTCCTGAGTATAGACATAGTAACGACATGAAAGCTACACAGAAACTCGTGCAATAACATGATAAGTGTGTAGTTTGAAAATTAAATGCATAGCTAGGTATTAAAAATTACTTTCCAGAGATTGTTTCCTTGTCTCTGTATTTGGCAAAGGTCAAGTAGCTTTAGTTGCTGATCGACTCTGTGTGATTGAAAAAAACCAAAGCAACAAAGCACAATCCAGCCATTTTCAGTCTTCATTAAAACACATCAGTTTCTCCCTGCTTTGTGCTCCTGGTCATTACAGGTGGGACTGCGGAAGAGCCATGCCAGCCATACAGGAGAAGGACCCTGCTTCATAGGGAGGAAGAGACCATTAACACAGAAGCACTCCCAGACCAAGTGCCTCCAAAATGTCCTGGAGGAAATGGAGCTCATGCAGAGCTCCAGGGATGGGCAGATTGAAGAAGCCATCAGGTTCAGTCAGGAGCTGGAGAAGGAGCTGAAGAGCTCTCAGGAAGCTCTGGTCAGCCTGGAAGATTGCAACCATAACCTGAGGAGGGAGCAGGCAGAGATGAGGAGGAAGGTGGGAGAGGCCAGACACGCTGTCCTCAACAGTCTTGGCAAAGTGAAGGAGCTGGAAGCGAGAGCTAAGGAGGTGCCACATCTGCAAATACACATCCAGCAGCTGGAATCACAACTGCAGCACTACAGGTAGGTTGGAGTCTGACAAAAAGTGCCTATAAAATCACAGTGTTGGGGCACAAGTGAGTTGGAGAATCTCGGGTGGGGGCTTATTAGACGTCTCCAAAACACCTTGTAAAATCTGGCCAGAGGGAAATTAAAAGCTGCTCATCCATTTTCCTTATGGGGGTCTTTAGGAGATCTGGGAGTCTTCCAGGCCAAAGTCAGGGTGCGGATCTACAGAGAGCTGAAGTTACTCCTCAGACACACAACAACAGAACTCAGCATGGTAGTGCTTCAGGAAAGCCCCAACACAAACTGCTGACAGTCCTTCAGAAACCATTTCCAACACACTTACTTTTCTTGCTGCCTTTCCTGGTCCTTAGGTGCCATCCCAAGCCAGCTGTAATCAGATGGCTGACTCTCCATTCTGTATAAAAGCTCTTCAGCCTGTCCTAGGAACTGGGGAAAAGCACACCAGGACAACTTCTGGCCAGTGGTTTGAAACTTGCTGTGACTTCATTGCTTCTCCACTGAGAGAACAGGTAATAGAGGAGAGAAGCTGAAACGTTCCTAAACCCACAAAATAACAGAGTGGGAGACTCAAACAAAAAACACCAGCCAACTGAACCCCAGTTTTGTAATAGCATAAACAAACCCTTCCAGAAGTCAGAAAGTTGGTCACAAATTTAATAGTACACTGCTTCTGTTGCTTTTTATCTCAGACCAAACTTGGACTCACCGGTGGGTATTAAGTGTTAGTCATTTCTGCCCAAGTTTTAGACTGACCTATGGAATAAAATCTAGTTTATATTTTCACTGACTCAAAGCAAAACCAGTATTTCTAGACATATTTTTGCTTACACTACTAAATCTAGTATTTTAATAAATTGCATCTTCTGAAGTCCTTGCCTCTTCCTAAACTCACACTTCCTCTGTTTGCTTATAAGAAGAATTCATCGTGAGTTATTTGTGGCATCCTAGATGTTGTAGTGTTTTATGAAGTGAGGAAATTCTAAAAATAACCATTTTTACCCAGTGTCTTTCTGTCAGCATTGTGTATAG